AAAGGGGTCCAGTGAACACGTGCTACAGAGAGAAACTCGAGCAACTCTCTCCCAGAGTATCTGTTTCTCCAGTGGAAACTCAACAGCGATTTGTCTGGGAGCTGCAGAGCCCATGAGAGGATTTTCATAAGGGCTGTCTGTGGGGGCAGGGCATAGACCAGATCCCTGTGTGGGAACTGTAACCATCAGCCTTTGGTGCCACTTCTTTAGGATTAAACCCAACTTCCTCTTCATGTTTGTGCCTAATGAATCTTCTTTACATAAATGGATTCATTAGGGATGTTCTAAACCACAGCACACGCCAAGCCGCTCACCCCATGCTGTACTGCACACATGCCATCCCCATGCCTCCTGCTGCCCAAGGGAGCTAGGCTGCTCCCTCACATCCCCTGAGAGCACATGCAGGGGAGGCCAGGCCCTTTGAGGACTGCAGGCCTGTGCCCTTGGATACACCCAACAGACCCAGGCAGGGGGCACAGAGCCCTGGAAGTTACTGAGGTGGCTCCCGCTTACACAGAAGAGGCATGTGGGAATCAGCAAGGAAGGAGGAGCTTTTCTTCTCTATCCAACAAGGACAAAGGAATGAAGTGCCTGACCCAACGGTCCCTCCAGCCCCATACTCCAACTCCAGCAATGGTCAGACCAGCTATTCCAGAGGAAGACACAAAAATCCTGCCATGGGCTGGGGTAGCATAACATCTTCCTAGGAGAATTTCTTCCTAGCCCCGGCAGGTAGCTTACGTGTACTGAAGTATGTGGCTTTAGATTCCTTCCACATCATGTTAGCTGTCGCTATTCTTATTTTTCACCTTATTTGAATCCTACTAAGCTCTTTGCTTCAGCAACACCTTGTGGCAGGGAGTCTCACAGGTCACACAGCAGGTAAAGCAATATTTCCTTGTACTAGCTTTAAATTAGTTGCCTTTTAATTTCATTGGGTGATCCTTTGCTTTGATTTAGATCTCCAGATAGCATGAGAAAGGGCATAAACAGTAGGAAAACTTCCCTAGCCTTCACTATATGGTTCACCATTTCATACACATTCATCATGCCATCCCCTATTATCTCCTCGCTGACCTAAGTAGTCCCAGGCCTTGTCTGAAGTGTTCCGAGGTTGCTACGTGTTTTCATTGCCCTTCTCTCAACTCTTCCCATTTCTGCTGTACCCTTTTTCCTGAGATGCGGAGAGAAGACCTGAAGCAACATCATTCAGTGCATTTCTGAAAGGCACGCTCTTGTTTAAGTCCTCAGGTTGGGGACTGGGATATGGATGCTGTTATGGCTGTAATCTACGCTAAGTTGGAAGGAGCTAGTGGCATTAACCGTGAACAGCTGTTTGGTACCTGAAGGAAGCAGGGGCTCTTGATCTAGATCCTTGGAGCAGATAGTCACAGCCCAGACGGTACTGTTGGCTTGTCTCAGCGGAGAGGCCAGGGACTGCAGGGACCTTGCAGATGGAGCTCTTCTCTCATGTCTAGGGTATGTCTATGCTAGAAGAGTTAATACCTGTAGTTAGGTAGCACCAGCTCAGCTGCATTGGTGTTAACCTCCTGGTGCAGACAGGGCTCGGGCATTTCCCCACCATGGCAAGAAAATCTGCTCAGAGCAGGGCTAGACACAGTGGTAGAGATCCTTGTGTCCCATCCACACTAGTATTTACATGGTAACTAGCACTGGGGGTGCTGAACCAATGCTAGCAAAAGCAGCAGCCTCAGTGCAGAGACCCTCGGTGCTAGCTGACAAGGTGCCTGCAGTCACTGCCCTGTCTACAATGCTGCTAGCAACAGAGAAGCTGAACTTAACAAGGCCTGCGGGGTACGGAATCTTAAATTACCTCGCGTAGATCTGACCACTGTGTCTAACCTCACACAGCACATTCCTGCAACCTTTGTGCACTGGAGTGAGGGATCAGTATGGATCATCTGCTCCCGTTGGATACCATGAACAGGTTCCCTCCAGGGCCATCTCCCACTTGGGAAACCATACAATCATCAAAACACTGGGCGAGAAGTGCTCTGGAGAGGTCATCAAGTTCACTTCCCTGCACCAAGGCAAGACCAAGTAAACCTAGATCCCAAGAGGGGTTTGTCCAACCTGTTCCTAAAATCCTCCAATCACGGGGATTCCGCCACCTCCTTTGGGAGCCCGGTCCACAGCTTAACTACCCTGAGCGTTAGAAAGTTTTTCCTGCTACCTAACCACAGTCTCCTTTGCTGCAGATCAAGCCCATCACTTCTTGTCCGACCTTCAAGACAAGGTCTTCAAGTCTCCAGTGGCCATGGAGAACAATCGATCCTTGTCCTCTTTCCAACAGCCCGGAACAGGCCTGAAGCCTCATCAGGGCCCTGCTCGGTGGTCTTTTCTCACAACTACACGTGCCCAGGTTTTAATCTTTCCTCACAGGTTGGGTTTTTTGATGAGCCTTTTATGATTTTTGTTGCTCTTCCAATTTATTCACATCTTTTTTACTGTGGTACCCAGAATTGGGCACAGAACTCCAGCTGAGACCTCTCCAGCACTGAGTGGACTCGGACAGTTAACTCCCATATCTTACCTATGACAGTCCTGTTAATACAGCCTGGAATGAGATTTGCCGTTTTTGCAACTGCATCACACCATTAACTCCTATTCAATTTGTGATCCCCCAAAGCCTGCAGATCCTTTTCAGCAGAACGAACACCTAGTGAGTTCGTCCCCATTTCGTAGTTGTGCATTTGATTTTTTCTTCTTAAGTGTGGTACTTTGCACTTGTCTTTTTGAATTTCATCTTGTTGAAATGTCAAGGTTGTTCTGAATTTGAACCTTATCCTCTGAAGTGCCTGCAAGCCCTTCCAGACTGGTCATCTGCAAATTTTATAAGCATGCTCTCCACTCCATTATCCAAGTCATGAATGAAAATACTGAGTAGTACTAGACCAGGACTGACTCCTGCAGGACCCCACTAGATACCCCTCCCAGTTTGACAGCCAATCATTGATAACTACTCTTTGAGCATGATCTTTCAATCAGTTGTGCATCCACCTTACAGTAATTTCATCTAGACTGTATTTCCCTAGTTTGCTTATGAGAATGCTATGTGGAACTGTGTCAAAAATCAAGATATATCACATCTGCTGCCCCCCACCATCCACTAGATCAGTAACCCCAATGAAGAAGGAAATGAGGTTGGTTTGACATGATTTGTTCTTGACAAATCCACGCTGGCTATTCCTTATAAGGCTATTATCCTCCAGGTGCTGTGTAAACTCCTGTTAGAGACAGGAAGGAGTGGGGAAAGGGAAGGGCTGGAGAAAGGAGAACCAGAAAAGGGGATTTGGTCTCATTCCCTGGCAGGACTCTATTGCAGAATTGCTCTGGGAAAGCCACTCCCTGCAGACAGGTGCTGCCCAGAGCACCAGTCACTGCAGGCACAAATCTCAGTTAACAGGAAGGCCACAGGGACTCCCTCGAGCCACTTAGAAATTCCTCCCAAAGCCCTCCTGACCTTCACTCACCAGCTGATTAGACAAGGCCCTCTCTGTGCACGTACAAGGGGTGGCAGGGAGTGGGGAGATAATGTATTTGCATTAGAGTTCATTGGCTGAACCCACTGGAGTGGCCTTGGGTTTGGGGATTAGCTGTGCACCTCCCCCTCCTCTCCCTGAAGCCAATCAGTACAGACAAAGCTAAGAGAAGGCCCCTGACCCCCATGCTGGGCACTTCTAGAAGCAAAGCAATACAGGATTTCAAGAGGTAAAAGGCCAGCCACCAAATCCGCTGCGCATCTGTATTTGCTCTGGCAGTGGTACAGCACATGGTCCCTGCAGGCAGGGAGACAAAGCCGTGGGTAGCTGTGCCATGAGCGTCACCGGGGCCAGGCTCTCATACACTGAAACCTGCAGAAGCCACTGAGGTTCTGGCACAAACACTCACTGCACGCCATGGCCATGGGGCCCACACCTCCGGCCTGCACAGCTGGTGTCTTCGCTGCAGCATCTGACGTGTAGACAAGCCTGTAGTCACAGGAATCACTTCACTGTAATTGTGGCCACTCCACACTGGGAGCTGTGTGCGCTGCTTTACCTAGATGGCACAGCTTGGTCACCACGCGGAGGGACACCGGAGCACAAGTGTCAGCTATCCATGCTTCCTTAGTGCACCCCAATTTAATCGACCCAGCGGTCCAAGTGACGATTCAACCCTTCAAGTCAAACTCTTTTGACTTGCCTACAGCCAAGTTGCTGGTCCAGTACAAGGGCTGGTCAGGAAAGTGGACTTTTGCAGTCTATGATGATTATCCCATCCCCATGCTGTTGGGGGAAGACTTGGCCAATCATGTGACGTGAGCCAAGAGGGTGGGAATGGTCACCCGCAGCCAGGCTAAGCAAGCTGTCACACCTAGCTCTGTTCCAGAAACTTCTACCAGGACCCGGTCAAAGGTGAGGGAACCGGACCCCTTGCCAACATCTGCAACAGCAGTAGAGGGATCCAGTCCCAGAGACCCAGACAGAGCCAGTCTCAGAACCGGAACCGGCAGAACAACCAGCACCAGACCCATTGCCAGCACTGAATTCAGTACTTGCAACCCCAACACCAAAGGGCCCCACCGAAACTGCACCAGCAGCAGCCGATAACCCTACACAAGAGGCTCAGCCGGAGCCTGAACCCCAACATAGTGCATCAGCGGAGAGCGGTTCACAGTCAATGGAAACAGCCCCATCACCTGCATCGCTTCCAGAGGGACCAAGCCCAGGTCCACAATCCAATGAGGAACTGATGTCTCCAGAATCAAGGGAACAGTTCCAGACCGAACAGGAAGCAGATGAAAGCCTCCAGAGAGCTTGGACGGTGGCACGGAGCAACCCACGGCCTCTCAGCTCTTCTCATCGATCCAGGTTTGTTGTAGAAAGAGGACTTTTATACAAGGAAACTCTTTCTGGTGGACACCAGGAAGACTGGCATCCTCAGAGACAGCTGGTAGTTCCAACTAAAGGGTAAAGCTATTAAGCTTAGCCCAAAGTAAAACTATTTCCCCATGTTTATTTCCACCCCCTACTGTTCCTCACATGTTCTTGTCAACTGCTGGAAATGGCCCACCTTGATTATCACTACAAAAGGTCCCCCGCCCCACCTCTCCTGCTGGTAACAGCTCACCTTACCTGATCACTCTTTTTATAGTGTGTATGGTAACACCCACTGTTTCATGTTCTCTGTGTATATAAAATCTCCCCACTGTATTTTCCACTGCATGCATCCAATGAAGTGAGCTGTAGCTCACGAAAGCTTATGCTCAAATAAATTGGTTAGTCTCTAAGGTGCCACAAGTACTCCTTTTCTTTTTACAGCTTGTACAGATACCCTGCCTGTCCCCACGGGAGGAGCCTTCCCAGGGTGCTGGGAGCAATCTCCAGTCCAACACCCAGGCCATTCAGCACCCCATTGACCTAATGAGGTACTAATGGCAAAGCTTCCTTTCCCCATTAATACCATCAAGCTGGCAATCAAGGAAACAAGCCAGCAGCCCTTTCACACTGTGCTGAGGTAACCTGGTATTTAGCACATTCAGAACATTAAGCTATTGTTCCTCCCCGCTCCTCCCCCACACAGAAGGGTCTGCTCAGCACTCTCTCCACTTCTAGCTCCCGGTCACTCCCACCTCTAGTATTTGCAATGGAGAATCTGTGCACTGTGCTTTTTGGCTGAATGGATTACCTGGCAAAGGGCAGTGCTTAAAGTGGAGGTGGGCAGGTCACAAGAGGGTCACAGACCTGGCAACCAATATCCCATCAAGCCAGGATGCCAGTCTTTCTAAAGCTGTGGCTCCCAGAGTTTGACACCGACCACCAGCTTTTGTTGGACCACGGTAAGCACTGGTGCCCCTGTGCTTTACACCCAAGAGGAGGCACAGACCTGGAAACTGGAATGCTCACTGGGGGAAGGCTGAGCGGCCCATGCCCAGGCCATGCTGGATGCCGTCTGGAACACAGGCTGCTGGCTTTCTGGAAGAGCCACAGATTGTTTAATTGGTGCCACGAATACAACAAAGTGAATCAGAATTGCTGTCAGGGACGCAGAAGCCACCTTCTCCTCATTGATAGCTAGAGCCAGAGATACCCCACTGGTTTATTTGTGCTCTCTAGGGCCGATCATTGTACTTGCCATCCCCGGCCTGTAAGAACTCCACAGCTCCTGCAGGTTCCAAACATGGCCAGCCCCACCCCAGGCCATTCAGGGCTGATACCTGCTGCAAACCCACACAAGCACTCATCCATTGCCTAATCCCCTCCCCACACTACATTTAAGCATCTCTCCTAATTTAGCTGCACAGGAGGCTTGGACAGGATCTTGGGCAGTGGTGCCCTTTTAGGCATACATGGAGATTTTGCTGTTGTCTTTATAACGTACCTCGCTCACACTGGCACATCCTCCTCCAGCAGTCACTAACTCATTCTAGGGGGTTCTTGCCAGCCAGCTGAAATATCCGGAGTATAAGCAGGGCAATGGTGCCACCTGCTGGCTCCACAACAGAGCAGTAGCTTTGCAGAGGCTGCAGCTGGATAGAAGACCAGGCTCAGCTTTCTTTCAGCGGCAGTGTCCTCATTCCCCACACAGGGGCACTTGCTGATGGCACCTTTACCTGGCTGTTTGTCTTCCTGTCCTCAGGCTACAGCAAAACTGAGCTGCTGGGCCCCCAGGCTGGGCCGGGGGCAGGATGAGTATTTGCAACTGTCCACAACTGTTGTGTCCCCATGTGCTGACTGGCACAACGATGCTCTCAGGTTGTCTTGTGCACGGCACTTGCCCTCCCAGACTGCAGGGCCTCCTGCCTGGCCCCTTTAATTCTTGTGATGTTTCAAATTAGCTGAACTGCTCCTGAGGCCACCAGGGGGGCAATGGTTTTGTATCTGATCAGGTGCTGTGATCCTTCCTCCAGGTCAATCACATATTCTCTGAAGGGGAAAGAGAGATCGGTTCAGATGGAAGGGTGGCAGCAAGCTCAGAACGAGAGGAGAGAGGTGCTGCATTCTCCTGAGGCTCCTGCTTGCTTTTCAGGGTTGCAGTGTTGGATCATATAAAAGAAGTTCTGTATTAAAATCACAAATGAGTTTGATTCCCCATAGTTTAAATTCCAGGGTATTACTAATTAAGAGGTCTCTTGGTTTTTGGTACTGTTTCTCTCCCTCTATGTGTGAAACTTGCAAGCTGCTAATTCTAAGACAGAGTCTGTTCTCAAATCAATTCTTTGTAACAACTACTCACACAGAGAGAGACTCAAAGCAATACTCTAACAACAGCACCCAGAGGCTCCCCGCCCTTGTGTTGTATTCATCTCGCTCTGTTAACAATTGTGATTAAAATAGAGATAGAGGATGTATGTGGATGGATGCTTGGTGTGGATAATAACTTGGTGTGGATAATGATCAGGGAGGTGCCAGCCTAAGAATCCAGTGTCCATCGGCTGAAGAAGGCGTTAAGTGGAAATAACCAAAGGACCCCCGGAGGGCAGACTGGGATCCACCCAACAGCCTCAAGAATGGGAGAACCAAAGAACAAGATAACATCTGGCAGCACGGAGCCGTCAGGAATGTGCCATCTGCTGATTGATTCAGGAACAGCATGATGAAACAATTCCCACAGACTGGCATAGGAAGAAATTCCTATAAAAATGGACTCTAGAAAGTGAGAACTTTGGGGTCTGATTCTGCAAACCAACTTCCAGGAGCATCAGATGAGCATCTGACAAGGCCCTGCTCCCTCCTCATGTCCAGGCCACCTGGCCAGTGGCTTGGCATGAGCAACTCTAAGGCTGGTAACTATGATAACAACCTTGCAGGACCTGTGTGTGTGTGTGTGTATGAATGAATGTGTGAATAAATATGAAACTGAATGGAATGTTATAGCTCTAATTAACTGCTTACTATGATTCTTTCTGTATTCACAATAAATGTGGCACTTTGCCTTTTCCCCTTTAATAAGCTCCTGCTGGTTTTTATTTTATTGGTATAACAGCTGCGGCAACGTGACCGGATTAGGCAAGGAGGAGGGGTGCTGCTCCATCCAGCCCACCCACCCACAGCTACACAGGCAACTCGCAGAGACGGGAAGCTGAGCAGAATACAGTCGGGATGGCATTTCTAAGGCATGTGCGTATCAGTGCACAGCAAAGCAATAGGCCACCTACCTCTGCTCATCAGTCTCTGGCTCCACCAATATGTTTTCCTGCCTCTCCTGCACCCTCAGGAATACAAAGGAGTCCAGGTTGGGTTTGGGAACTGCAAGGAAAGCGACACACTCAGCCCTGATCCCGGGCTCACGTGACTGAGACCAGGGCACTTTGTGCTGCACGAACCACTCCTGGGAACAGTCTCTGCTCCTCTGCAGGACCTTCACGTGGAGCTGGGATGCTCATGAGGACACAGTGCAATGCTGGTCACTAGCCCCACAGGCGACTGGCCAGTCCCATATGCACCAGCCAACACATACTCGAGACGGCAGGAGAGTCAGAACACAGAGACCAGTGTGAATAGCCTGGTGACCCCCTTGTCTCTCCCCAGAGGGCGATTCTAGGAGAGGGCGGTGCAAACATATCCAGACCACCTTCTAAAGGGCCAGCAGTGTGGAGAGGGCCATGCTCAGACACCTGCCTCTTCCAAGCACTTGCCGGAGCTCTAGCACTTACACTGCTTGCTCTCTAGGACTTCAGATTACTCCAGGGCTCGTCCCCAGACAGCCACTGCTAGAATCCTTTGCCTGTACTGCAGCCGGGCTTCTCTTACCCAGTCTCAGGAGATCCACTTTCTGCAGGTTGGGAGGCATGTGTTTCAGGGCCACATTTTTCAGGTAGGTTTCTGTGTTCGCCATGTACCTGAAACAAACAGCCCTTACTGTCAGTCAGATCACGGCAAAAGCTGGTGGGCCAGAATGGACTCCAGGTACCAGCGAGACACGCTGAACCCGCAAGCACGGCGGGAAGACAGCAGCAAGCGGCTGGGTCTGGAGGGGCAGAAGCTGAAATGAAGACTTCTCTGCTCCAGCAAAACAGCGCACGCAAATCCTTCAGCGCCCAAGGGCACAGCTTATCTCCATGGGAAGGTGACACAAAAGGCAGTGAGGGCTCTTCCCACTGGCAGGACTCGGGCAGCAGAGGGAACTTTTCTGGCATAGTTTAATGGGTGGCTGAAGTGAGACTGCCCCTAGACTACCTCGTTGGCCAATGGCCTGCCACAATCTGCCAGCAGAAGGCTGCCTAGGAGACAGGAGAGGAAGCTGTGCAGCAGGACGAGGCTCCCGTCATGAATCTGGCATGCACACGGAAGGAGGCAAGCGGGCAGACACTAAGACTGATGAAGGCTGAGCGGGGATCTTTTTTCAACGCCTTCCCAGACTGTCAGGAGCGCTCAGGGCCAAGCCTCTAGCTTCACTGCAGGCCCAAGAGAGAGCGAGGGACTCGTTAGCTGGTCACTAGGGGACAAGGTTTTTCCAACCAAGCTGCCACAGCCAAGTTTGCCAAGGGAGGATCTACAGCATGTGAAGCAGAGGCTCAAAGGGAGAGCCAGAGTGCATACAACCCCAGTTCTGGCCTGGACCTAGTCTGCGCAGTAGAACAAGACCTGGCTCACCCCACTGCCCAGCCCTCCTTCCATACCTACTCACTCTTTAGCAAAGGCAAACTCCTCTGGAGAGAGGATGGAAGGCTCTCCTTCCACTCGGGACTTCTCCTTCTCCAGGATATGGGGGAAAAACTTCTCAATCTGCCAGGGGAAGAAAAACCCCAAAGAAGAGTCAGCTGTGATCGAAACAGAGAGCTCCATCATAGGCAGCTCCCAGCATTCTCCCTTCTATAGCCAGAGGGAATCTGTCACTGCAGATTGGTGAGGTGCAGAGGTGGCACATCTGCCCTGGGATTAGTTCCAGACCCACGCAGGGCTGTCTGCGCCTGAGAGGCGGGATGGCAATGGAGTTTCCAGGAGGAAGATTGCACTGTGCTGACCCTCCATAGGGTAATAAACATGCTCACCACAGCACTGTGACACCCAGAACAAGGTGCTGCGCTTGACAGCAATGAGGAATGGATTCCCCAGGTGAACCTTATGGTCACTCTAACCAAACATGTCAAGGGCCCATGACTCAGAGCCCCGGACCAAAGCAATATGCTTTTGGTGTGGCCAGAACGGCATGCCTCCAGCCACTCTCCTAAGAGTCACCTTGCCATGGCACAGAATAGCAGGGTGTTACCTTCACAAGCCTGCAGCGCAAGTAGCTGCTGAGGACATAGCGGATCCTCTCAATCTCCATGCGGTGGATGCTGACCTTCAGGTCTCCGTGCTTGGCTCGTTTCAGATTTGACTCCTGCAAAGGGGCACATGGGGGGAATATCAGACTGTTCAAACACTCAATAGCTAAAGACACAGAGAGGCCAATGTCCTCAGACTGAGCCCCGGGAAAGAGCTAGATTGCAGCTGCCTCTTGTAGACAGAGCACCTGCACCACGAATGCAGGTTACCACCCCTCACTGCCACATGGGAACCAATACATGGGACAGCTCCTTGGAAAAGGGAATCGAAGAACCACATGCCAGATTTTGCAGTATGTAGGATTTGGGCAGCTAATGGCCATTGGCCAAGACTGCAGATGGTTGATTCTGTCATCCAGGCAACTGAGAGTCTGCCTGGAGCAGGAGATTTACACCACCTCTGTAGCAAACAACTGCACAAAGAACCAGGAACTGGCTAGCAGCACTGCCCCCATGACCAGCCCACTTTGGCAAACAACAAGCGGCAGGCCAGGATGAACAGCAACCATGCTGAAGGCCCTATAGAATAGCAGACAAGGGCAACAACAACAGCTGATGCCAATTTTAACCTCTGTGACTAACAGCAACACGCCAGGAGCCTGGGGGCTCTTGCTGCTCTCAGCACATAGCATGAACCATCACTGCTTGGGCAGAGCATGCAGGTTAACCACAAGATGCTCAGAACTACATCCACCCTCTGTGGGGAACACTGGAGAGGGGGACGGATAGAAGCACTGGCCGGAGCTTAGGCAGGGGACCCCAGGGCACGGAGTTTAGCAATAACAGTGTGAACCTGTCCAGCCATTCCCAACCCCTGCCCCCACCTGTGCCCCCAGACACGCACCATGTGGTCCAGCTGCTCCATGACACACTCCACGATTTCAGACTTGCTCTCCAGCAGCTCTGGGGCAAACTTCTCATTCAGCCAGGCCTGCCAGCACAGCAGGACAGTGAGCCACAAACCAGCCTAACACTGAGCCCCTGTGATCTGACCCACCAGCCCCCACTCCCCTCCCCTCCCCGGGCCGGGATAGAACCCAGGAGTCCGGGCTCCCAGCCCCTCCCCGGGCCGGGATAGAACCCAGGAGTCCGGGCTCCCAGCCCCTCCCCGGGCCGGGATAGAACCCAGGAGTCCGGGCTCCCAGCCCCTCCCCGGGCCGGGATAGAACCCAGGAGTCCGGGCTCCCAGCCCCTCCCCGGGCCGGGATAGAACCCAGGAGTCCGGGCTCCCAGCCCCTCCCCGGGCCGGGATAGAACCCAGGAGTCCGGGCTCCCAGCCCCTCCCCGGGCCGGGATAGAACCCAGGAGTCCGGGCTCCCAGCCCCTCCCCGGGCCGGGATAGAACCCAGGAGTCCGGGCTCCCAGCCCTCCCCGGGCCGGGATAGAACCCAGGAGTCCGGGCTCCCAGCCCCTCCCCGGGCCGGGATAGAACCCAGGAGTCCGGGCTCCCAGCCCCTCCCGGAGATAGAACCCAGGCGTCCGGCCCCACCCACCTGCTCCAGGCTGCGGATGAGCTGGGCGGGGGTCAGCACCAGCTCCTCGCTGCTCCCGTCCGAGTCCCGCTCGCGCAGCTCCGGGCCCTCCGCCATCCCGGCTCGAGGCTCCCGCCAACCGCGAGCGCGCGGTGACGTCAGCGCGCTCCGCACGGCGGCCGGGGCGTCTCCTGGCTCGCGAGGCCGCTCCCCGCGCGCCCGCGGCGGCTTAAAGGGGCCGCGACGCCCGGCCGAAGCCCCGGTCCCCCGGGGGCCCTCCGCCAGCGCGGCGCTCAGGGCTCTCAGCCGGCGTCCGGGGACACCGCTCCCTGGGCCCCGCGCCTCTGCCCCCGCGGGGGCACGGGCAGGACAGGACACAGGGGCGGGCGGACGGACAGACGGGTCTGTGGACAGACGGACACAGGGATGGACGGAGAGACGGGGGATCCACGGACGGACAGATGGGTCTGTGGACAGACGGACACAGGGATGGACAGACAGACAGGGGATCCATGGACAGACAGACGGGTTTCAGACGACAAATGGACCGACAAGGGACCGATGAACACATGATAACAAGAAACAATACAGACACAGGAATGGACAGAGAGGGGATCCGTGGACAGACAGACGGGTCTGTGGACAGACGGACAGAGGGATGGATGGACAGATGGGGGATCCACGAATGGACAGACGGGTCTGTGGACCGACGGACAGAGGGATGGACGGACAGATGGGGGATCCATGGACGGACAGACGGACACAGGGACGGACAGACGGACAGGGGATGCATGGACAGACGGACACAGGGATGGACGGAGAGACGGGGGATCCGTGGACAGACAGACGGGTCTGTGGACAGACGGACACAGGGATGGACGGAGAGATGGGGGATCCGTGGACAGACAGACGGGTCTGTGGACAGACGGACAGAGGGATGGACGGACAGACGGGGGACCCGCGGATGGACAGACGGACACAGGGATGGACAGACAGGGGATCCGTGGACAGACAGACGGGTCTGTGGACAGACGGACACAGGGATGGACGGAGAGATGGGGGATCCGTGGACAGACAGACGGGTCTGTGGACAGACGGACAGAGGGATGGATGGACAGATGGGGGATCCACGAATGGACAGACGGGTCTGTGGACCGACGGACAGAGGGATGGACGGACAGATGGGGGATCCATGGACGGACAGACGGACACAGGGACGGACAGACGGACAGGGGATGCATGGACAGACGGACACAGGGATGGACGGAGAGACGGGGGATCCGCGGACAGACAGAGGGACACAGGGATGGACAGACAGACAGACAGACAGACACAGGGATGGACAGACAGACGGGTCTGTGGACAGACGGACAGAGGGATGGACAGACAGACAGGGGATCCGTGGACAGACAGACGGGTCTGTGGACAGACGGACACAGGGATGGACGGAGAGATGAGGGATCTGTGGACAGACAGACGGGTCTGTGGACGGATGGACACAGGGATGGACAGATTCACAGACCAATGAACAGACTGATGGGTCCATGGACAGACCTAGGTATGGTCAGATTCTTGACACTTTGCTGGACAGACAGACAGAGGGAAGGGTCCATGGAAGGATTGATAGCAGAATGGAGGAATACATAGATGGATGGACGGACCTTGGTCTTGAGTGGGTTGTGCAGGCCCCTACCAGAGCCACCCCCCTCATTCCCCCACACCACAGCCCCCATGAGCATCCGCACCCCCTCCTGGTGTGCAGCCCAGGCCAGCACTAGCCACATCCTCACCCCAGTGTGAACATAATGGCGCAGTGTCCTGGCGACATCTTAGCATTCAGCGGCTTCAGTTGGGAAACTGGACCCCATTGTGCCAGGCACTGCACCCACACACAGGGTCACTAGTACTGTGGGAAGGTGTGGGGCCCAGCCCCGTTGTGCAGGGTGCTGCACACATACACACTGAAAAGTCAGTCCCCGCCCCAAGAGCCTGCGTTCCTGTAACTCTCTCCTAACTTGGATGTGTTTAGTTGTGTGCCATACAAACAGCTGTCATTCCATCCCAGTGGTGGCTAGGGATTGGGGATGATTCCTCCATATCTGCAAAGTGCTGCAGGATCGATAAAGGCAAGATGATGACAACGATTATTCCTTCTCACAGCAATTGTGCTGTTGCAGCATCCAGTAATGCAGCTCTCTGCTGGCTTCTCTGAGAAGCTCTTCCAGTGAGTGGCTGTTCTGCTCTTGACTTTAAGGCTGCATGCTCATCTCAGATGTGGGAGAGTACAGTAAGTAATTTTACTTTTCATGCTGGTGTGTCATCTCTTTTTCTCAGTTTTTGCCTATTACACACCTTGACTTTCTAAATATAAAAATTAGGATCCTTTTTGGTAGTCTCAATTGTTACCTGATTTGTCTGTGCTCTAGAGCAGGGGTTCTCAACCATTTTTACTCTCTTAGGTCCCCCCCAACATGGCATAAAAACTCTGAGGCCCACTTGTGCCACAATAACTGGTTTTCGGCATAGGAAAGCCAGGGCCAGCATTAGGGGTAGCATGCAGGGCAATTGCCTGGGGCCCCATGCCACAGGATCTCCCACAAAGCTACTTTGTTCAAGCTTCGGCTTCAGCCCCGGATGGTGGGGCTTAGGGCCCCGGCTTCAGTCCCATGTCGTGGGGCTTTGGTTTTCTGCCCTGGACCCTAGCAAGTTGAACACTGGCCCTGCTTGGTGGACCCCCTGAAACCCAGGGGGCCCCAGATCTCTGGTTGAGAACCACTGCTCTGGAGAATAGCACTAAATCTTCTCTCCTACACTCTCCCACGGTAATATGCATTTTAAAAACTGAACTCCTGTACATATTTTGAGAGCATGAACTTAATACCAAATAAAATGGCTGTACATCATAGGATACATACATCCAAATACATGCTGCATATACACGATTCCTTTAGCTGAAAAGAAACATAAGGGTACATTTATGTATCCAAACCCACCATGTTTCCCAGGAATCCAAGATACTAGGATATGTTACTCAGTGGTTGGTTCTTGGTTGCTCCCAGAAGGGTAATTGTAAAAACATTTCCAGTACAAATTATTACTTTAATTTCATGATAATGAGCTGCTCTGTGAAACTATGAGGTAAGAGAACAAAAAGATCAAGGAAGGCAGATTTGGAGGAGGGCGCCTTTGGGCTTTTATTTTTTTTTAGAAGCACTTTGTGCTTTTACAAAAAGTTCTTGTAACAGAAACGATAAGAAATCACCCAAAGCCATGGTGCTTTATAGTCCTGTCTGTTACAGACCCCACCTCCAGGTTAACTGGAATATTACCTATTTTGACAATCAACCAGTAAATACAACATCTAGATGTAAAGACATGGCAAAGGCATATACACAAGTCACATGTTATATTAATTTCATGTTTGCTTTAATATCTGTCTTACAAATTCCTTTTCTGTCTGTTTGGAAAAAACACTTTACCATCAGATGTAAGCTTTACCATCAGATGTAAGCTCAGGCCTTTGCATCACTGAGCAATTCTGAAAACTCCTTCATGCTGCCCTAGAACAAGGCACAGATTTTGTTCTGCAAAGCATTTGTGTTATGCTAGCGTTTACAGGCCCCAACCAAGACTGGGGCCTCATTGTGCTATTTGCTGTACATACATATAGTAAGAGACAGTTTGCCTTGACGAGTCCCATTCCAACCCCTTCCCGGAAGTCCCCACCCCAACTTCACCCCCTCCCTGCCCCCAGGGGGTGCAGGAGGGGTGCCGGGTGTGGCGGAGGCTCAGGGTGCAGGGAGGTGGGGTGTGGGGTGCAGGAGGGGTGTGATGGGGTTGGGGTGCAGCAGGGGACTCAGGGCAGGGAGTGCAGGAGGTGTGCAGGGTGCGGCAGAGGGCTCAGGGCAGGGAGTTGGGGTATGGGGTGCAGGAGGGGTGAGGGGTGCAGCAGGGGGTTGGGGTGCAGGGTGCAGCAGGGGCTCAGGGCAGGGAGTTGGGGCGCAGGAGGAGTTCGGGGTGTGGGCTCCGGCGCCACTTACCTAGAGTGGCTCCGGGGTGGCAGCGAAGGAAGCAGCTGGAACCATGTCCCTGTGGGAGGGGGGTGGGGAACAGGGCTCTGCCTGCTGCTCTTGCCACTCCTCCAGGTACCTCCCCTGAAACTCCCATTGACCGCGGTTCTCCGTTCCCGGCCAATGGGAGCTGCGGAGGGGGGGGGGGGCGGTGCCTAGAAGCAAGAGCAACGCACGGAGCCCTCTGCTCTCTCCCCTCCGGGGGCCGCAGGGATGCGGTTCTGGCTGCTTCAGGGAGTAGTGCGGGGCTTGCGGGCTGTAGTTTGCCCACGCCAGGCCTGGAGGTAGGCAGAGGGTGCGGGGAGTGCGGCGGGCCGCACGAAAGAACCCCGCGGGCCACGTGTTTGAGACCCCTGTTCTAAAACATCCTTGTTCTCAGAGAACCTGGGCTGTGCGCACAAGCCCCACTTCCCACAAGACAATGAAATGGCGCATGAGAGAGACATTTTTCCCTAGAGGTATTTTTTAGTTCTAAATATCCCATGCAGGTCACCACTTCTGCCTACACAGTCACTGCCCAATGAGCCACTCTACAGAGTCAGTCAGAGGCAGGTTTCTCAATCTCATTGGAGGTGACTAACTCTCAGAACTTCTCACCTCCAAGTCACTTTTCCAAACTGGACCAAATCAGCAATGGCTGGATGCGACCTACCATCTGGTGGCTCTTCAGTACTCTCTCGGCTTCAAGAATTTAGATGATTTCATTTTTAGTGGCCGTGTCTTTAGATCACAAAAAGCCACCGCTAACTGATATCACTATTTGCGTTCTCAGAGCCATCTACAGCCCGAATGCAAGAGAAGAGACAAGCGCCTGCAGGGAGAGTTCTCATTTCAGTTCAGGTAGGTTTATGGAGTAGACTCTTTATAGGTTAATTATGTGACCTTAGTTCTAAACCTTCTTCTGAAACCTCTGATCACTTTCTGACTGAACTATGGGCCTAGTACAGACCTCAGTTCATACTAACTTCCACATTTTTCCTTCAGTTATATACAGCTTTGTAGAGTAATGTGACTCACTAGTGTAAGCCTCAACTCAGCACAAAGCATCAGTCCCAGTTTTATTAGGCCCCAGAAAACTGCAACAAGGGAAAACATTTTTTTAAAGCAGTTATATGAAAAGGTTAAACACAACAAGGTAATTTAAGAGAGTGAAAGGAGATATAAGCACATACTGAAAAATATTTTAATTTGTGATCAAAGGGGGAGGATTTTTGATGCAGTCAATGAGAAATAGGGGTAGATACATGGTGCAATAAAAGTGCAGAGTGTTGTTCATTACTTTAAATTACAGCCTTAGCAGAGGGCTGAAAGGGCTAGCCTCGCTGGAACACCACTCTGCCTGCAGAAGTCCCAGCTCCAGGGGTGCCCAGGCACAGACTGCAGAACTCAACACCCATGAATCCACTCATGGATCATTCCAAATGGAGCTGGACAGTCAGTACAGAGGCCGAGACTCCTCTGGCTGGGATAACATCCACAGTCACACCCCTCAGATCATCAGTCAATAAGGAGGGCCTCACAGACCATCAAGCCTTTGGCTATGTTTTTCTTCACATTGATTAGCATGGAGAAGCGTCTTGTAAATCAGGAAGAGAAAGATAAAGGAAAAAAAGATACTGAACTGGGGTGGTTTAGTACTGCATGACATTTTGATTAAATTAGAATAGTATCAAATTAACACTGCACACATTAAATGGATTAAAAGATGGCTAACTGATAGGTCTCGAAATGTTATTGCAAATGGGGAATAGTCATTGAGGGAGTATGTTTCCAGTACAGTCCTGCAGTTTTGGGGCCTACATTATTTAACGTTTTTATGAATGGCCTGGAAGAAAACATAAAACCATCACTGATAAAATTTACAGATTGACACAAATTGGGGGAGTGGTAAATAATGAGGAGGACAGGACACTGATTCAGAGCAAGTTTGATTGGTTGGGCAAATAATATCCATTTTAATATGGCTAAATGTAAACATAATCAAGATGGCCGACTAGATCTAGGGAAGCAGGGACTCTGAAAAAGATTTGGGAGTCATGGTGGATAATCAGCTGAACATGAGCTGCCAGCGTGATGCTGTGAGCAAAAGAGCTAATGCTAGTCTGGGACGCATAAATAGGGGAATCTCAAGGAAGAACAGAGAGGCTATTTTACCTCTTTGTTTGGTACCAGTGCAACCACTGCTGGAATACTGTGTCCAGAGCTGGAGTCCACAATTCAAGAAGGGTGTTGATAAACTGGACAGTTCAGAAAAGAGCCACAAGACTGACTAAAGATTAGAAAACATGCCTTGTAGTGATAGGTTGAGCTCTTTGAGTCTATTGAACTTTACAAAGACAAGATTAGAGGGTGACTTGTTTACAGTTTAAGTATCTAAGGGATAGAGTAGGAATGGTTACATTAAGGGATGGAGAACAATTATTTAATAAGGGGCTCTTCAATCTAGCAGGATAAAGTATAACACAATCCAATGACTAGAAGTTGAAGACAAATTCAGACTGGAAATCAGGTGTAAATTTCAACAGTGAGAGTAAATAACCATTGGAACAATTGACCAAGTAATTCTCCATCACTGACAATTTTTAGATCATAATTGAGAACAACATCCACAGTTCTTCTAGGAATTATGATGGGGAAGTTTTCTGGCCTGTTATACAGGAGGTCAGACTAGATGACTACAGTGGTCCACTTTGGTCTTGCAATCTATGAATTTGTTGATAGCCTGACCTACAAACTCATGATTCTCCGAAGGGGAGCCAGGACACCCCAGAACCAGTTAGAGGATACACAAGTTGAGCGCCCTAGAAACTGCTGCATCCAGGATCAAAAAGAAAAGGAGTACTAGTGGCACCTTAGAGAGTAACCAATTTATTTGAGCATAAGCTTTCGTGAGCTACAGCTCACTTCATCTGTAGCTCACGAAAGCTTATGCTCAAAATAAATTGGTTAGTCTCTAAGGTGCCACTAGTACTCCTTTTCTTTTTGCGAATACAGACTAACATGGCTGCAACTCTGAATCCAGGATCAAGTCTCTCCAGGTTGGTCATGGGCAGGCGGTCACATCCTTGATTACTGTATACCTTACAGGGAGGGACTCAGCTATCTTCTATAAAGCTTAACTTTTACTTAACCAAACCAAAAACTAGAAACTATTCAGAGAGAAGCCTATTAATGTCCTTGATTGTTAAAAATCCAACTTATTAATTCAGACAATTTTATAATACAGATCCATTGTTCCTTTTGGTGAGCCCCCTTTTGGGGAACGAGCTTCACAGACTCTTGGCTGCTTATATAAAAGCCTGGAGTTTCATCCCACATTTGTAAATACCCAAACACTGTGTATATAACGTATCAAGGTGCCCAGCCTGAGCTATCGTGCCTCAGACATCGAAACCTCTAGACTGAAACCTATGTGGGCTCAACATTAGGTCTGTCGCTGCTAACATTTTGTTTGTACACAAGCAAAAATCTGACTAACAGAAAGTAGAACGCCCACCCTCTTAATGTCTAACATTCATCAGATTTGTAAGATAGCTGTGTAAGTGTATACATATTTTAGAATCTTGGTGAGCAGTCATCAGTTTTACTTAGGGAGTTATTATTTGATTCATGTCAGTATCAAAGTATGACAGACAGTTTATTTAAGAAAAATTTATTGATCCATTAATAGGTCTTCAAAATTATTGCAACAGGTCTGAAAAGGCAAACACAGTTACAGCTTAGAAAAACAAGTATTTTGTACAGTTAAAATATTACACAAGCCTCCAGGAAAAAGATCAGTGTATGAGAAATTAGATCTGGAAGCTTAGATCCAGTATTAGCACCTACAGTATCACAAAGCAGAATGCTCTCTGTTCTGAACAGTTTTCTTTTGTAAATCCCAAAACAGAGGGACTCTGCTAACTTAAGCCAAGGCCAGATAGAGAGCTCACTTTAATAAAGGAGAAGGAGACAACAGAAAATATTACACCAACTTGATTTGTAGGAAGTTTTACTCAGAAGATGTCCAAGGTATTTTAACAGACGTTGAGGAATGTTTATGCACAGGGAATACGACATACTGCACAGCTCTACCCTTCAGCAGTTTGCCAGTGACTAGAGTTAAGAAACTCTTACACGCTATCTAGTACTTTGTCAAATCAAATTTTCCTATAAATTATATTTATAATAAAACCATAAAGAAAGTTTATTACACTTCACATATTAAACATTAAGGGATAGAGTAGGGATGGTTACATTAATTGGTTCAGCATTCATTTTATTGTGCTTACATAGCTTAATGAAACAAGCAGTACACGATCTCCTCCTATGAATTTAGAACAACGCAGTAACAGTAGATTCTCACAGCAGCAGCAAAGCACCCAACAATAATGTTAGCTAATGGTTCTTAGGAAGAACTAGAACATGAAAACAAAAGCATTTGCATTATAATTCCCAGAGAGCATCAGCTCTGGAAACTTAAAATGCTCTATGCCTTGAGTCACTTGCTGCCAGGCAGAGGCACTCTGTGCAATGGACATATCTACCTCCTTCCTGCCCCTCTCGGTCCCCCGAGGACTTATTCTGGAGTGAAGATTTTGTTTTTGAAACACACACACACACACACTCCCAAAGTCAGGCTTGTTGCTTTCTGAAGTCTGTCTGATGTATAGGAAAGCCTGAGTGGCTGTGAAGGAACAGTACTGCTCTCAGGTGGCTGATCCACCTGTTAAATTTCAAGTGCAAACAGCTCAACTGTCTTTCCCTTAGAAATTAAGATGATCCCATCACTTAAAGCTTGCCATAAGGACACAAAATGGATGCTGACCAGCCAGAGGGTCACCCCATGTGGGGCAGAGGTCTAGGAAGTTAGTCCTTTAGTGGATGGCACCATGGATCTGGCAACAGAGAGGAATGATGCTCTAGACAGGAGGTAGGTGGACCTTTTGGTACAGCAAGTCCACCACCTAGCTGGGAGCTAGAAAGCAAGACAGAACAAGTTTAACAACATTAGGGACACTACAGCAAACCATGCATGGCACCATTACATAACAGTATCTGTTCTCCCAGAAGTACTGCAGCACAGAGGAGGTAGTATGTGTAATGGTTCACAATAAGAGCCTGGGAGCCAGCACTCAGAGTGCTATTCCCAGCTGTGCCACTAACTTGGCAAGTGCCTTCACCTGTAGGTCCCCTTCTGCAAGACAGGGAGTAATACTTCTTGGTGTCGCCCCTGCATCCTCTGCCAATGAGGCCAGCATGCCCACTTCACTGCTTCTTCTACAGTAAGTCTTATGCATGGAACATCCTCCTCATCTTAATCCATAAAGCCATTATCCTCTCAGGACCCACTTCTGCTGTGGCATGTACAATCAGTCAACCAGTGATGACTGGGCAGCCAGGAGAGTTTAATTTGTTTAAGGAAAAGATTAAAGTGATTTGGAACCATCACATGGTGAAACAGCTACCTCTGTGGCCACAAGACCGCACTACCATTACCATGTCATTTGTCCTATAAGCAGCTGGCTTTCTCAGGAGCCTTGAGAATTATCAGCCACACCAAGTGAGGCTTTACCCCTTGGTTCTGAGCTGCGTTTATCGTCCAAATGACCACAAATGATAGCGCTTCCAGGTAGGGCTTCCTATCCTGCCAAGTTTACCACCAGGAGTCTTCCTTCTTCAGGGACTACTGCAGGCCACCATCCCTTCCTGAAGCTTCCCCAGCCATCCACACTCAACAGAGCCACTTGCCGGTTTTTACAGTTACCTACTCCCTTCCCAGGTGAGTCTGACAATTGGCCAGGGCTGGCTGGCCCCAAGCCTCTGGCCCTTAAAGGGGCAGGCCACTAGTACACCTCCCCCTTTCACTGTAACAAGTGAGACTGTAACCCCCTTTGGAGCAGGGGACTAGGTCTGTATGTGTTTGTATGGCACCTAGCACAAGGGGTTCAATTTCATCTGGAGCCTTTGGCTGCCACTCAATACAGATGTGTGTGTCCAGGTTTAAGGAGTGGATGTAAAGTACTTTGGAAGCCAATAAGGATACTAATTATGTAGTTCTAAACTTAATGCAAATTAATCCAATTTTCATAATTGAACACTGAATATTTTCAGCAGACTTGGTGAGGGACACTCAGATATTTTGGTTGTGCAGAGTGGGATGACCACGCTCTGCTGGGGAAGATTACTGAGGCACAAAGAGCAGGTAGGTACTCAACTCCACTTCCCCTTTCTACCTCTGAAAATCTCCCACAGGGACCTGCAAGAAGATTCAGACAAACCAGTCAGAAGTGTCTCAGATCATGGTCTTTTCAGTCAAAGCAATCAAAGTTAGAGTTTACTTACAGCTAAAGTATCCAGGAGTTGGAATATTTAGTGTATACTGGTAAGAGCAACTGGCAATTTGCATCTCTGCTCCTAGCATGGGCACGTAAGATGCAAGTTCGTGGCAGTGACTGGCTGGAGGGACTGCATGAATGCAATTTCTCAACATTGTTGAGTAAGCTCAGAGCCTGACTCCCCACCAAACGAATCTTCAATGGATCACTGAATCAGCAGGTCAGATTCTGATATTAGCAATACCAGTGAGAGTTACTCTGAATTTACACTGATGTTGCTGAAATCAGAATCTTACCTAGAAAGTGCATCCTTTTTCAGCTGGAGGCATATTCCCTGCTGTTCTAGATTCTCACACTAAACTGTGTATGTAGCCCACATGCGCTATTCAGCAGTCAAACAGATGGTCTAGGACACTTTGCAGGCTGGGGGTGCTGGTGGGTTAAGTTTGGGAAGACAGATGCCCAATATGGAGCAAGGGTCTTATTAGGTATGCTCCTGATACATATGCAGCTTCAAAAACAAAGTTGTGCTGAACAAAAATATTTGCAATTCATGAAACTATCCAGAAGTTTCTAATGTAAATCTTTCCCCATTTTAGAAATTTCACAGTTGTTTGAACTTTGATAGAGTAGGGTCTTGCGTGTAATTGCTCAAAACCTACACCACCTAGGAAAAACATCATTTAGCAATAATAGCTGTGAAATGAGTCACGACAAATGGATTGTGCCAAGTAGATGCAGCTGCAATTGATAAAACAAACTTACTCCCAATGGCAGAAAACAAAAATCACACAGCGTATCAGGCTCCAGAGTGCTAATAACCAGAGCAATCAGTTTGGACATTCTAAATCAGAAGAGTCATCTCTAAGTAACACATTGTTACAAACTACTCTGATATCCCACAGCTTATTGTGCAGCTAAAAGAGTATTCAGACTTCTGGTCCAGGAACGTCTCCCATCATGGCTTGCTGAGCCTCTCAGGGCTTGTCTACACTTACAGCGCTGCAGCAGCACAACTGCACTCATGCAGTTGTAATGCTTAGTGAAGACGCTACCCACGCTGATGGGAGAGCGTCTCCTGTCAGTGTAGATATTCCACCTCCCTGAGAGGCAGTAGCTGGGTCGACAGGAGAAGCCCTCCCATCAACAGAGTGCTGTCTTCACCGAGAGTTTGGGCCGTATAACTGCATCACTCAGGGGAGCAGATTTTCTATACCCTGAGTGATGTAGTTATACCGACATAAATCTGTAGCATAGACCACGCCCCAGGGCTTGTCTTCATGGTGCTGGCAAAGCGCATTAGAGGGGTGTGATTTGTAGAGTGCTCTAACATGCTGTGCTCTAACTGCCCCATGTAGACCCTGATGGGGGGGAACTAAAAGATACCCAGTCTTTTAGTTCACACCAGCAAGGTCTCCATGGGGCAACTAGACATAGCATGTTACTTGCGTGTGATTTGTAAAGCTCTCTAATATGCTTTATGCACAGTGCAGACAAGCCTCAGTGAAAATAATCCCATTTAGAAGAATTGTAGGTACAAGTTAATCAAGAGGCACCCAGCAAAGCAAAGGAGGGAAGTGTGTTGGGAGGAATTCAACTTTACATGTTCAGTAGAATCTGGCTTCTGCTGTGAGATATTCCTACTCAGGCCAGCAGATAAAATACTTTGTACTGAGATTGAGATCTTTGGGTGGGAGGCACTAAGTGCTTTACAAACATGAAGTGTCACAAAGAGAGAAATGGGGGATCACTTCAACCAGCATTGAAATGCAGTGACCTAGCAGGGCACAGGAAGTGAATACTCCATCCAGTTGAACCAAAAAGGTAACCCTGATGGAGGTAAGATGTAACTACTCCAATTGGAATTTGAGTCAGGATACAGGGGTTAATATCTTGACTCCGATGAAAAGTGCCAGAGGAAGCTTTAAGCAGAAGATGGCAGCTCCAGCAACAGAGTCCCTGACCTCAGGCAGTGGCAATTGATTCAGTACTGACTGTGGGGAGCAACCAGCACCTACTAAATTGCCAACACTATATCTTGCAGCTCCTGGATTTTTCTTAGATGTCTCCCACCCTAGTACTGACTAGGGTTGACTCTACTGCTTAGCTTGAAAGAGCTCATGACATTCGCACAAGTAGTGTGACTGCAATGTTAGCATGTAAGACTGAATGGGAGTCCCATATCACCTTATGCCATAAGTAAGAGTCATTCTGAAATCCAGAAGAGCCATTTAAACAGTGATTAAATTCAATCATTACATTTTAAACATAATTTTTAAAGTTCTGCACTGTTCAGCAGAATCGGGATCTACTGATCTACCAAACCTGTGAGATAATGATTTTTGATGCAGTACGGCATAAATTAGATTTAAGTTTATGCATGTTTAAGTAATTAAAATCTTGGATTTCATCAAGGTTAAATTTGGTGTCATCTGAAGTACATTATCATTCAGCACCATGCTGCCAAGTATTGATGTTTTTACAACTTCCGTTGGGATTTAAAAATCTAATCCACACATAAGATTTATTTAAAAAGCCTCATGATTACATGCAGTGGTTGGATAAACATTCAGTCTCCGCAGGGGAGAGGACCTGCATCTTCTGAATTTACAGAAGCAGGTTATTGACCTGACATCTAATGCAAAGTTAATATTTACCTTAGACTCCTTAGTTTTATCTTCCACTGCTCAGTCCTCTGTCTTCGTAAATGGTAATTTCAATCTGCACAGCATGGCTGTTAAGAAAACATGCTATATAGAAATATCATGGAGATAAAACAGGCAAGTGAAACAAAGCAACACAGTGGAGCACTTGATCTTTCAGCCTCACATCTGCCATTACAGAGGGAATTTTGCTAAATTTCTGAACTAGAGTAAGCAAAACATTCTTCGTGGCTTTTGGCTTTGCATTCTGGCCTGTGCTACAACTTGCCTTTAAAAACGTCTGTTCAGAGGCATAAAGACTTTGTAATATTGCAGTGAAACTGTTAACATTCTTATGAACAAAGAGATTGGTCATTAGGCAAGTTTTTGCTTTGCACTCTTCCACTGTTCAACTATTAATCAAATTACCAAATTAAAATCACTATTTACATGTCTGTTTACCAAATGCAAGTCATTTTTCTGTACTTACAGTTCCCAAAAACACGCACAGTACATCAAGGGTAATGAAATTACACAACTGACAGCTGTAAGCTATTTGGGCCACTACTCAGATAAACTCAAGGAACTGCAATTAATTAGGAAGACAGCTCACCACACACTATGAGCCTATGCATTTCAAAGGGGCTTTGAGTTTAGAATTCTTGACAGATGAAATGCATTACTCATACTTCCTCTTTTATTGCTACAAGATGCCCCCACAACCACCAAGAAAAATGGTAACTAGAATGAATGCTAAGCCATTTGCAGTGAGGTCCAAAGCCTAGAAGAAAAATTGTAGGGAGAACAGCTGTAGCCAAGAGCAAAATCCAGGGAGACAGACCTCATCACTCAGGCAAGTTGTGGTGGAGATTTTACCATAGGCACCAGGTGGGAGCAACAATGCATTGTTTCTAAGCCAAGACCAACATTTAAAATAATTCTACAGAGCATTTACATTCCATGTTTTATTTCTATTAGGAAGTCAGCTAGCCTTTCTAAATGGCTAAGTTGCATCTTCCAGAGGTAGCAGAGATTGAAGGAAGATACTCTGCTTCTGAATAGCACCCTTCTAAGAGAGCTCCAAGGAACAGATTTATCAAATTCATATTTTATTAAAAAGACTTTCTAAACAGATAGTAATTTTATCCAAATAAAGTTTGAGAGGAACAGCTGAGTACGTTACACATGAGACGTTATAAACACCAAGGAGTATGTGTTTTATAAGATCACAGAATCATGGGTGCCTGCAGCATGCAATGCAGCCTCTGTGAGGTAAGATGCACTATTACTGCTCTGAGGACAGAATTCTGAAGAGGATTAAGAAGCCATAAAAAGATACAACTCTTAGTCCTCTCTCGATGGGGTCCGTCAGGAGGAGGCCTTGGGGTGCGTAGATCTTCTCATTCTGTTCCTGAATGAATTTGGCAATTTTCTTAAGAACCTGGTGAGAGAACACAGAGACTTTATAGTTTTTCTGTTTGAGTTTTCACATCAGCCTTCCTTTAAAAGCCCCATCTACACTACAAATACAACCAAGTCAGGGGAGACCTAATAACACAGCTTCACTCTAACAAAGCTGGGACTGTAGCCCTGTTGCATAGCTAGGCTATTTTTTCTTCTTTTTTGGCGGGGAGTAGGTGGGAAGGATACATGGATAATGTCTTGTCTATACCAGCACTGAAACTATATTGCAAGGAGGTCAGGAGACAGCTGTATTGTAACAAGATTCTCCGACGGGTACATTTGTATAATACTGTGTCTGTGCTACAAGAGGTTAATATAGGGTATAGCCTGGAAAAGAGAGATCTGTATAGTGCTATGAAAATATGCAGTTTAAATTACTCACAAAGCAATTTGCTTACTATATGTCATGGTGTGACTCTAAAAGAGAGGAGAGGCCCCTTTCCTTCCATGTCAATTTCCCATTAATAACAGACTGCCAAATACAAAGTGCTGATCTTAGCTACTCCAAAAATAACTGTTTTCCCCTTACATGCTTCTTCCACAGATTCAGAGAGTTCAAGGCCAGAAGGGACAATTAAATCATCTAGGCAGACTTTCTGTATATCACAGGCCATTAAATTTCACCCAGTTATCCTTATATTAAGCCAACAACTTGTGTCTGGCTAAAGTATAACTTCCTGAAAGGCATCTCGATTTGAAGACTCCACCACCTCCCATGGTAGTTTGTTCCAGTAGTTAATCATCCTCACTGCTAAGCCTTATTTCTAAATTGAATTTGTCTGGCTTCAGCTTCCAGTTGGTGGTTCTTGTTTTGCCTTTTCTTCACTAGATTAAAGCACCCTTTAGTGCCTAGTATTTTCTCCCCAGGAAGATACTGAATACACTAATCAAGTCACCTCTCAATCTTCTTTTTGACAAGAGATTAAACTCTTTAGTTTTTTACCATAAGGAGTTTTCTCCAGCCCTCAAATCATTTTTGCAGCTCTTCTCTGTATCTGCTCTGATTTTTCAACATCCCTTTTTAAATGTTGAGACTAGAACTGTACGTGGCATTCTAGTATCAGTCTCACCAGCACCACATACAGAGGTAAAGAGAAACCACCTCTGTGTTCCTATTCACTGCACCCCTCTTCATACATCCACAGATCACATTAGCCCTTTTTGTCAGAGCACTGTGCTGGCAGCTCACGTTCTGTTGCCTGTCCATTATGATCCCTAAATACTTTTTCAAGTCACTTCTTTCCAGAATACAGTCCCCACTGTGTGTGGGTATGGCCTGCATTCCTTATTTCTGGATGATTTTTTACAACAGTTTAAACGCAAAATTATACATTTTGTTTGAATGGGCCCAGGTTACCAGATCATTGTGTGAGACTGCCCTGTACTCATTATTTACCACTCCATCAATCTTTGTATCCTCCACAAGTAGTGTTTTTGTATTTACTTCTAGATCACTGATGAAAATATTGAAAAGCATCAAGCCTTCTTTGTGCCATTTGTTCTACTGCTTCTACTCCTCCAGTCCAACAGTCTATTTACTGGTTAGCACTCTTCTCCCCCACCCTTCAAACACTTAGAGGTGCCATTGCTATCTCCTAATCCAACAAGTCCTGCTGCATTAAATGGGGGGTGACACTTGGATGAGGGAGGGCAGTTTTGAAGGGGTTGAATTCTGCTGGTTGTTGGGTGGGGTGTAAAACTGCTATTTTATATTTTGTTCAAATAACTGATGGCAGGAGTACCCAGTGCCTTGGGTAGCTGCTTATTTCTGTATATGTCTGCTGATCAACAATGTAGCTACTGCTTTTCCCTGCATGTCACCTTTGTGATGTACCAGTTGTCACCTGTCTGAACAGGAGTCGTTCCAGGCCAGCATTCCTTTAAATGAATCCTTCTGCATGTTAGCACAGAGCATTGCTCTTATCGAAATAGTGCCTGAGGCGAGTGCTAACTTGCGGTTTTGGCCTGTGTGTAAGCCAAGGCAAACAGACTGCACTAGTTTTATATAGTAACATTTCCAAACGCTTTGATCCAAATAGTTCACACACTGATTGTTAAAGTCAAAACAGAAGAGCCATACACTTCTTGCTTCATACAGGTTCAGTCTACTTTGCCCCAGATAGGACACTGATAAGTTAGTAGACTGAATGCAAACACAGGACAGGCTTTCAGACAGATGGTGTTGTTTTTGTCACTTCATTACAGAAATGTTTGGGAAACTGATAGCTTTCAATGAATTATGTACTTGAAGTTATTTGATAAAAAAGAACAGAACCCTAAAACGAGATCAAACCCAGCTTTCGCAGTTGGCTAAGCTCCAACATTACTAGTCCTACCAGTTTTATGGTATTTCCACAACCACTGAGTCATGCATCTATTTAAATATTTCAGAGACATTAGAAAGAAAGGTGGGGAAATAAACTGAAAAGGGTTCTAGAACATAAAAATACCAGAGTGGGAATGTTCAGTCTGCATATATACTGGGTCAAGAAAAGTTAAAATACTTGCAGAGATATGAGATCTAATAGTCACCAGCAGGGACCATTAGATAATCTAGTCTGACTTCCTGTCTAACATAGACCATAGAATTTCACCCAGTTACCCATAAATGGAGCCCAGTAACTTGTGTTTGACTCAAGCAAATCTTCCAGAAAGGCATCCAGATTAGGACCAAACCAAGGAATTAATTTCACCAAGGACACCTTAAATATAAAGCTCTGCATAATGCAACTGACTTCTGGAAATTCAGATTATATGTATATATAAAGTAAAGAGCATCTTGTTTTAAGAGAACAGACTACACATAGTAACAGCAGAAAACCAATACAATCTCTGAAACAGTCTTAGTTGAATGACTTTTGTATTTTATTAGCAGTGTGAAGTTTCACTTTGGTCTCTCACACACACTGCTCCTTCAGATTTACGGAAACCTCCCAACGTTCCAGTTCAGGAAGCTTTTACTAGTCAGAGTTTTGTTTCTTCTCTCTCAATAGATGTGTGTCAGCCTTCTTCAAACACATAATGGAAGCAAGCATGCCATAAAGATATCCAGCTCAGATCTCTCCAACTCTCCCATTTCCTGCTCAGTCAAGCCGCAAGAAGTGGAAACTAGAGATGGCATATCCATCTCCACAATCCATTACTACTTAAGTCTCTTACAAAATGACTGCATGACTGATTTCAAATAAAGAATTCCTGAAATGCATCCATCCATACTCTGCTAAGGGTTACTACTTAGGGACACACTCCAGTTCAGTTTAATCAAATGTAAGTTTTGATGGAGGAGCTTTCTGGTGAGGTTTTAGCTACAATATTGCGTATTTAGAAATCTATACTGATTAAAGAAAATGGCAAGATGATCACATTATGGAAATCAATCTTATTTTGAGAGGGTCAAAAAAGTTGTTTGTAAAACCAACTAGATATTCAAACAAATTACACAGTATAGTAGTAAGTGCAACAAACACAAAAGGTTAGAGAGAGCTAGTCACAAGAATTAACCATCTCTTTGCTCTGTTCTCATTAGCATGACCAGGAATGCTGTTTTCTCCAATGAGATTTGAAAAGAAAAATTATCTGCCTTGCCATCTCTGTCCCAGTCTAGTTCTCAGTTGTAAAAAGACATTTCAGCTGGTGCAGCCTAAGGTCTAAAAAGTCACTCTTCTTACATCAGATAGGCCAAAGAGATCTAGATAAATAAAATATATCGCAAACAAGGACAATTTATCACCCAGCTCAGAAGGGATGGCAAAAGGCTTCTGTTCATATATAATATACAGCAGTAATCATGAATAGAATGATTTGGAACATGTTTTTATTTCAAGTCAGCAATATTAAATTATCAGGCTTCTTTAAACTCTCCTTTCATTTATAGAAGGGATGCTGAATATATTCAGATACTGACTTGGCCATTTACTCATTGGCTTTGTGAACTCAGACTGCATAAAAATAAAATAAAGAGGAACTGCCAATACTAAATTCAGACCACATATGTAAGCATGGATGCATGCAGGTGTGAAAGTATGAATGGCTTCTAGTTCCTCAAGCCAGTGTGTCAGGGTGTTTAAACAAGAAAGAAAATCTTCATTTTTAAAGAGAAGGTATCAGACCACAACATTTTTATAATTTAGAATGATCTAGTTGTTCACCGAAGGACTGGAAGCCAGCAGTTCTGAACAGCACTAAGCAGATCACTTAAAATCTTTCCTCATCAGTAATTTAATCCCAGAAGAAATTAATAAACATTCAGTGTTAAAACTCTCCAGTTTAGTGTTTGTCTAATGGATTTTAAAGTTAAACATGATTGGGTTAGGAATGGTTCAACTAGCTGGGCACACTGAGTGACTGATAGGTTGAAAATGTATCTTTGACTTTTCTCCTAAAACTGCACATTATCTTTGTATGGTTATAGTTTATCCTAGCAGCAGGATGATCTCTTCACACATCTGGAACATAACATTTTATTTCTTTGCTACTCTCCAACCAGTGACTCAAGTTGGCATTTATTCCCTGCATATACACTTGCAACTCTCAAATATAAGTGAGAGGAGAACAGACCAGGATTTTTCAGGAAGCTAGGCTAGCAGGTGAAAGCTTATTCCGTATTTGTACTACAGTGATGAACTACGCTGTTATAAGAGAAAACTTTATAAACGAAGTAAAAAAGCAAAACATTTCTCCTGTTGACAGATCATAACTTTCACATACAACATTGTGAGTTTCATTTGCTTTAAGTTTATTGCATGAAATGTAACAGGCTCACCTTTTCATAATGTGTCTCCATGCACAAAAAGATAGTGTAGGCAGTCAGACAGGCCAGACATCCTTCAAGATAAGATTGGCCCCCAAGCTTCTCAGCTTCTGCATAAAGGTTATTTAGAGTTTGAACCGTCTCTTCAAACTGCTGCCTATCGATCTGCAAAAGAGATTGAGTTTAACAAGACTAACCCAGCAAATTTCTCATTCAAGACTCACTGATCCCCAATACAGAGATCTAGCTTCTGTGCTAGAACAGTCCGTTAATCAGCAATGTCACCTACAGACAGTTTCAAACAATATGGAGAGCAAAGGTTTGGTTTAGGTACCGAATTACTTCCATAAATTGTAGCATTTGGTTAAATAGCAGCTAAGTGATCTAAAGTCATTAGATCAAATGTGTATTCCCACATTACTCATTTATTGTGTGCATAGTCATCTAGCCAAGAGATGGCATCTTAAGTGGTGTGAAGGAGTTCTTCTAGGCCACCGTTGAACCTATCAGCAGGCACTCATTGACAATGTGCTTCATCCTCTGTGTCTCATTTGCTGCCCTTATTTAAACTGCATTATGTGTAACGTGTTAGGTTCAAAGTACAACCTAGTTGAAAACTGCTCATCTGGAGGGGGAAGGTCCTCTAGATTTCAAAAATACATTTTTCACTTAAGGCCTTGACTATTTTGCATAATTATGGCAGAGTTGATCAAACAAGTTATAAATAAAATTAACAAGGAAAAACTAAGCTGATTAGTGTACCTACAGGGCAGGAGAGAAGGAAACAGGACCCAAAGTGACATTTACCCGCTATAGAAGAAAGAGCAATTGGCAAGGAGGGGTTATTTTGTAGCTTAATAAAACATTACAATTGACAGTAACAAAATGAAAGAAAGTACTTGAGAGGGTACTTGTGAAGCCACTGAAGTGCAGGCTCAGCAGAACAGCCTTCTCACCATGAGAGAGGACTGTGGTAGACATAACTGCACAATAATAAATGCTTTCTTTTTCACTGGCATAACAGATGTAGTTTGTGTTACTGTTACAAGGGACACCTTTTCTCAGGATTACAGAAAGCATATATATCAATGTTTCATAAATGATGTGAATGAGCATTTTAAGCATATTGTTATGTCTAGATGTTCACATCAAAAATCAAATGTCTTCTAATCATGATCAATGAACAACAACAAAAAAAAGAGCAACTGACAAGAAGCCAGAATGTCTACAAATTAACAGAATTTCTACTTCTTTATTTTTGATAAAGATTATGGTCCACAGGAGAGTTGGATGCACAAAGGATGTGGGCTCTAGCCCTCAGCTCGCATGAAGATAAATGTGTGAGCTTTAATGCGCTGCTTCTTATTCAGTGTTTCAGCCATTCCTGATATGCACAAAGTCAATATTTGTAATAAAGACTTTACAGTGTCTAGAGTAAGAGATTAGAGTTAGGTAGGTAGGTTTAGTTGCTTTAATCAGACTTTATAATGAAAGGACTCCTCCCACACCGAGATAATGCCAAGAACACTCACCTCTGATTCTAATTATGCACGTTTAAGAATGTTGGTATAAACTATAGGGTTATTGAACATTCTGTATTTTAAAGACTGAACAGGAAATGATACGCAACAAGGTAGCAGAATGATATTTAGATAAAGTCTCCATCCCTTTCATAGTATGCTATTCTGAGTTGAAAGCAGACAAATGCAGACACAAACCACTTCTATATAAAGCAACTTACGAAAGCTGGAAGAATCTGTTTACTATATTTAAAACGTATTAGATTTTATACTAGAACTTCATGTATAAATATCATCTTCCCCCAGTCAGAGCTCCTACGTTCACAACCTCTCTTTAAGAACTGTATCGATTTACCTCCTAAAGGCTGCCAGTCTGGACAGGACTGTAGAGTTTTCACCTATTTTATCCAGCTTGTGAGGTGCCATTCTCACCCTTGCTACTATTCAGTTTCTTCTGTTAGTGACCAGCTACATTACCAACACAAATCATGATACTGGAAGGCCTTCCTGAAAGGCACTGCTATGGATTGCTCCTATATAGTCCTGTCCACACCCTTTTACTCAGTGACAAAGTATCACCTCACCTCTGCAATTACCCCATCAGCCAAGCCACTAGGCTGGCAAGAAAACACTCATTACTATATCTACATCTTTCTGACAATTTTCTAATAATTAAACACTGAATGCACTCAAGATGACATTGTGCGCTCCCATACTTTGTGCATGAGAAACACACTGTTGTACAGTGCAGAGACTATCTGAGCAAAACCCTCCCCCTAAAATCAAAGACAGAAATTATAGAAAGTAACTGCTATAAACTAATTGTAGCAAACAGAAAACGAGGGATTCATTTCAGTTTATACTAAGAGCAAGAATAACTGGGCTGTGCATTAAAGCCGAATACCTGTACCATGTAATGTAAAAGTCAAATCACAAATAAACAAACTGGCTCTTACCTAGAGCTTTGTGTTTACAGATCTCAAAGCACCTCACTGAGGTGATAAGTATCATTAGCCCCATTTTGCATACAGGGAAGTGGAAGAGGAACCTATCACTATTTTTGTTCAAACATGTTAAAAAATACTAACCAGAAAAATGCCGCTGTGACAGCCTGACTACATAGATTAGGCCATAGCAAATGCAGCTCCCCAACTGTAAATTTAAGGAGTCAGATTATTAATGTGGGTTGGAAGGCAGGCTCCATTTTTATCTGTGGTTAGTTTGGTACTATTTAAATCATAGTCCTGTTAACTGAAAATAAAAGACAGAATGCAGTTTACAACTACTTTGATAATCTCATTTCCCATGGTGTCAAATTTCTTCTAAGCAGAGGCCTTGGCTGAGGAAGTATTGGCAAAATGTCATCTCCCAGACAAAGCAGCGCCATCCACTGAACAAAGGCAGTTTAAGATTAACTATTAAAATTAATTTTTAATATGATTTCTAATTTAATACTCCATTACTCTTCTAGAGTGCCTCATTCAAGAAGCCTAAAATCTTTAGCAAAACAATTATAGGGAGAGTCAATTTAAACCCATTTTGCCTGGATTTTTAAAAAAAATCTATTCTGATTACTTGTATCAAGTAAGGTCACCGTAACTGAAAGAGAGCAGAGCAAAAGAAGTTTCCTTCTATTTTACCAGTTCACTTTAGAAAATGTTATAAACCCACCAAAACTGGCAGTAGATCTCAGGTATGGTGTTATACTAGAAACTACTTTTAACTCTCTTAAAATTGGCTAGATTTCAAGTTGGCAATATCCCTTTAAGCCTTAACCACTCCGAGTTAGGTAGGTACAGCTTTTACAGATTTAGGAACTGAGGCACAGAGAGTAAAGTCACTTGTCAAAGATTACACAGTAAACCAGTCACTGAAGTAGGAAAAATAAGAATAAAAAATAATCAGTCTTGACTCCCTAGCATCTACTCTAACCACCACCCCACAGCGAACAACTCAAACTGATTTAAAAAAAACCAAAAACGTATGCAGGGTAGTTTGTATAAGTATGTAGGAAGCGGTCACCTTAGTTGTCGGGAAAACACCACATACATTGTTGGCTGTAAACAATACAGGACTCATTCTGAGCACATCCTATCACATCCCCTTCTTCAGGCACAGGCCGCAGGGAGGAGTGCACAGCAGGTACGCTCTCCCGTCACCTAGCTCCGGCCTTTTTTGATCCTGTCCGTAACCCAACCCAAGTTAAGTTAAAACAAAACTTTTACCCTGTTTTCCAGCTCCAGGGGGAACTTGGTCTGGAACTGGCACCTGGTGCCGCTACCGTAGTCTCGCTGGACAAAGACTTTACCAGAAACAGGTGCCTGCTGCGGCCGCATCGCACAGCTGGAACTGGCTGTTCTGTGGGAGGACACAAGGGGTCCAACACATGACACGACCACCAGAGCCACCCGGACGCCGAGAAGTACAGCAGGCTCGCCCCACCCTACAGCCCTACGCGCGGGGGGGGGGGGTTTCCAGGCAGAGTTTGCCCTACCCCCCCGCGGAGCCGCCGCCTTGCCAGTTTCAATGAGCCTGCTGAAGTCTCCCTCAGTCAAAGTGTCCGCTTGAAACTGACCGGAAACTCATCCCCGGCCCGCCCAGGTTACCCCCTCCCCGCAGCCCCCCCAAGACACCTACCGGCCGTCCACTCCGGAGCCAGAGCCCCCGCAACCCGTGTCCTCCGCAGCCCCCCCCCAGCTCCCCCCCACCCCGCGCCAACCGCCAACCCCCCCCCACCCCGCGCCAACCGCCAACCCCCCCCCGTCCCCGCGCCCCAACCCCCCTCCCCGCAGCCCCCCAAGACACCTACCGGCCGTCCACTCCGGAGCCAGAGCCCCCGCAACCCGTGTCCTCCGCAGCCCCCCCCCCCACCCCGCGCCAACCGCCAACCCCCCCCGTCCCCGCGCCCCAACCCCCCTCCCCGCAGCCCCCCCAAGACACCTACCGGCCGTCCACTCCGGAGCCAGAGCCCCCGCAACCCGTGTCCTCCGCAGCCCCCCCCCCCCCCCCACCCCGCGCCAACCGCCAACCCCCCCCCCCGCCCAACCCCCCCCCCCCGCCCCAACCCCCCCCCCGCCCCCCCCAACACCTCCCGCCGTCCACCCCCCCCCCGCAACCCGTTCCTCCCACCCCCCCCCCCTCCCACCCCCCCACCCCCCCCCCCCCCCCCCCCCCCCCCCCCCCCCCCACCCCCCCCCCGGACATCGGCCCCCGAACTCCGGCCCACGGCGCCCCAAAAAAACACCCGGGGCCCCCGCCCCCTTCCAAGGGGCCCCCGCCCTTACAGACAAAGCCAGGCCCCCCTGCTTCCTCCACTCCGACGCCGGCGGCTGTCGTGCGCACTTCACTTACGACTGCCGTAAAAGCACCGCCCCAGCTTCGCTGAGAGCCGCAAGTGAGCAGCGGTCCCACGTTAGAGCAGCCCTGCGCGTGCGCCACTCCCACGGGGCGTAGAGCGCGTGAGAAGTTGGGCTGTTGTACGCATGTGCCGGGGAATGAGATTCTGCGCATGCGTCACTCTGCCGTTCAAGGGGCGTGTTCGTGCTGCTGTAGCCTGACACGGGCCCGCGGGCTCCCTGTGGTGCCTCGGGCCCCGCCCGGCGGGCCAGCGCCCCCCGCCTGGCGCAGTCCACGTGCACGGCCCCCCCATGGCGCAGCCTGAGGTACGGTCGTCCCCCGCCATGGCAGGGTCTATGGCACGGCCCCGCCTCCCCCCCCCATGGCAGGGTCTATGGCACGGCCCCGCTCCCCCCCCATGGCAGGGTCTATGGCACAGTCCCTCCCCCCCATGGCAGGGTCTGTGGCACGGCCCCGCTCCCCCCCCCCATGGCAGGGTCTATGGCACAACCCCCTCCCCCCCATGGCAGGGTCTATGGCACGGCCCCGCCTCCCCCCCCCATGGCAGGGTCTATGGCACGGCCCCGCCTCCCCCCCATGGCAGGGTCTCTGGCACAGCCCCTCCCCCCCCATGGCAGGGTCTATGGCACGGCCCCGCCTCCCCCCCCCCCGTGGCAGGGTCTATGGCACGGCCCCGCCTCCCCCCCGTGGCAGGGTCTATGGCACAGCCCCCTCCCCCCCCATGGCAGGGTCTATGGCACGGCCCCGCCTCCCCCCATGGCAGGGTCTATGGCACAGTCCCCTCCCCCCCATGGCAGGGTCTGTGGCACGGCCCCGCCTCCCCCCCCCCGTGGCAGGGTCTATGGCACGGCCCCGCCTCCCCCCCCCCGTGGCAGGGTCTATGGCACGGCCCCGCCTCCCCCCCGTGGCAGGGTCTATGGCACGGCCCCGCCTCCCCCCGTGGCAGGGTCTATGGCACGGCCCCGCCTCCCCCCCCGTGGCAGGGTCTATGGCACGGCCCCGCCTCCCCCCCGTGGCAGGGTCTATGGCACAGTCCCTCCCCCCCATGGCACGGTCTGTGGCACGGCCCCGCCTCCCCCCCCCGTGGCAGGGTCTATGGCACGGCCCCGCCTCCCCCCCCGTGGCAGGGTCTATGGCACGGCCCCGCCTCCCCCCATGGCAGGGTCTATGGCACGGCCCCGCCTCCCCCCCGTGGCACGGTCTATGGCACAGTCCCTCCCCCCCCATGGCAGGGTCTATGGCACGGCCCCGCTCCCCCCCCATGGCAGGGTCTATGGCACAGTCCCTCCCCCCCCATGGCACGGTCTATGGCACGGCCCCGCCTCCCTCCCCCCGTGGCAGGGTCTATGGCACGGCCCCGCCTCCCCCCCGTGGCAGGGTCTATGGCACGGCCCCGCCTCCCCCCGTGGCAGGGTCTATGGCACGGCCCCGCCTCCCCCCCGTGGCAGGGTCTATGGCACGGCCCCGCCTCCCCCCCGTGGCAGGGTCTATGGCACGGCCCCGCCTCCCCCCCCCCGTGGCAGGGTCTATGGCACGGCCCCGCCTCCCTCCCCCCCGTGGCAGGGTCTATGGCACGGCCCCGCCTCCCTCCCCCCCCGTGGCAGGGTCTATGGCACGGCCCCGCCTCCCCTCCCCCCCGTGGCAGGGTCTATGGCACGGCCCCGCCTCCCCCCCCCGTGGCAGGTCTATGGCACGGCCCCGCCTCCCCCCGTGGCAGGGTCTATGGCACGGCCCCGCCTCCCCCCCCCGTGGCAGGGTCTATGGCACGGCCCCGCCTCCCTCCCCCCCGTGGCAGAGTCTATGGCACGGCCCCGCCTCCCCCGTGGCAGGGTCTATGGCACGGCCCCGCCTCCCCCCGTGGCAGGGTCTATGGCACGGCCCCGCCTCCCCCCCGTGGCAGGGTCTATGGCACGGCCCCGCCTCCCCCCGTGGCAGGGTCTATGGCACGGCCCCGCCTCCCCCCGTGGCAGGGTCTATGGCACGGCCCCGCCTCCCCCCGTGGCAGGGTCTATGGCACGGCCCCGCCTCCCCCCCCGTGGCAGAGTCTATGGCACAGTCCCTCCCCCCGTGGCAGGGTCTATGGCACGGCCCCGCCTCCCCCCGTGGCAGGGTCTATGGCACGGCCCCGCCTCCCCCCGTGGCAGGGTCTATGGCACGGCCCCGCCTCCCCCCCGTGGCAGAGTCTATGGCACAGTCCCTCCCCCCCCGTGGCAGGGTCTATGGCACGGCCCCGCCTCCCCCCGTGGCAGGGTCTATGGCACGGCCCCACCTCCCCCCGTGGCAGGGTCTATGGCACAGTCCCGCCCCCCCGTGGCACGGTCTATGGCACGGCCCGCCTCCCCCCCGTGGCACGGTCTATGGCACAGTCCCTCCCCCCCATGGCAGGGTCTATGGCACGGCCCCGCCTCCCCCCCGTGGCAGGGTCTATGGCACGGCCCCGCCTCCCCCCCCCGTGGCAGGGTCTATGGCACAGTCCCTCCCCCCCGTGGCATGGTCCCTGGCACGGTCCCTCCACCCCCCGCGGTCCCCTGATTAAATTAATAGGCAGCAGGTTTAAAACAAACAAAAGGAAGTACGTCTGCGCACGATGCACAGCCAACCTGTGGAACTCGTTGCCAGGGGATGTGAAGGCCAAAAGTATAACTGGGTTCAAAAAGAATTTGCAAAGTTCCTGGAGGATAGGTCCAAGATGGTCAGGAATGCAATTCCGTGCTCTGGGTATTCCTAAGTCTCTGACTGCCAGAAGCTGGGACTGGATGATAAGGAATTGATCACTCGATAATTGCCCTGTTCTGTTCATTCCCTCTGATGTATCTGGTACTGACCTCTGTCAGAAGACAAGAGACTGGGCTAGATGGACTATTGGCCTGGCCCAGTGTGGCCATTCTTATGTTCTTATCAAGCATGCTATGACACTGACTATTTTTCTGGAGCCATAGGGAGCACCCACAGACACAGGGACGCCATACCATGCATTATGGGCCATGTGGAAGAAGACATGGAAGCAGTTACTTAAAAAGCTGACAAACAGAAAGTTGAGGCAAAGCAGTGTGGATGGGGTGGAAATGGTGTGAAGCTGAACAAGGGAAGATAAGTAGGGAGAGGCAAAGTTATATAGGGCAGTGTTTCTCAATGGCTGGTCTGTGGACTGGCGCCAGTCCACAAGATCTCCCTGACACAGTTAAGGAAGGCAGCAAGCCAGTCCCTGATATCAGAAGGGTTGAGAAATGCTGATACAGAGTATGGAAGGTGGTCACAAGCAGTTTGAATCTGAAGCAATCGTAGATGAGCAGCCAATGGAGGGATTTGAGTAGGGGAGTGATATGATCAAAATGGCAATCAGGGAAGGTGACATTAATAACTACATTCAGTCTTGCCAACCCCAACCATTCAAAATTCATGAGTCAGGCCCCATAAATCATGAGCTCTTCAAATTTTATTGAATAATTATTTTGGGGTTTTTTAATTTGTCTTTCGCTTTTTGAGTCTTTAGGGTCATGTTTTTCCGCTTTTCTCTGCAACCACAAGATCTGGAAATGTTTTTTTAAATGAAAGTGGAGACTCTCCCATAATTACATAACTGTAGGAGCCAGGGCTTTAAACCACCAAATGTCGTGAGACTTGTAATAAAATCACGAGAGCTTCGAATGCCGTGTTTTTGATATGGACTAAAGGGACTGGGAGCCAGTGACTGTATGGAGGAAACCAGAGAGGAGGTTGTTGCAGTGGTTGAGGTAGGATACAACGATTTGGCTTTGGGAATAAAAGGATGGATCGCAGAGAGATTGAGCAGGAAGGAGTGGCAGGATTTGAACACGGCCTGGATCCAGACTCATTCTCTCTTTCTCAATAGGACTCAGGACATACTTGAATTTTTTAAAGACATTTTCCCTATCTGTAAAATCAGATTATTGACTACTACTGATATTTTCATCTATTAAAACTGATAGCTTCAAGTCCGTCATACATTGTCACCTTTGCTTGTTTGGTTCCTTCATTTCCAGTTTGTAGCAACGTACTGAGCTGCACTGTAAATATCATCATCTCTATTGATGATGTGATGAAGTGAGCTGTGGCTCACGAAAGCTCATGCTCAAATAAATTGGTTAGTCTCTAAGGTGCCACAAGTACTCCTTTTCTTTTTGCGAATACAGACTAACACGGCTGTTCCTCTGAAATCTATTGATTATGATATTCATATCTTGCTCTTAAATCAACCCCTAGCTTCAGACACTCTTGAAGTGTCCTCCTTGCACTGAAAACATCATCATTAGCATGCCTGATATGACAACCGCTGTTCTCTCCCATTAAAACGCTCTGTTCATAACTACACATTTCCATTACAGCATAAAGATGGAATAGATGCTGTGGCAGAACAGAGCTTGACTCTTGACCTACTTTCCTGATACTTAACTACTTTCTTGTGCCTTTTAAATTCTGAATTATGACCTTTTGGTTATGGCACAGACAAATTGGCCAACTGCAACAAAATCCTGTTTTGTGAAAGAAAGTGCTTTGGTTGCATAGACTCATGCTTCATTTAACCAGATGTTTGCAAAGAATACTCTTCATACTAAATGTTATTAGAAATACCCCCAGGAACATGGATATCTGGATTTTTATAGCTCCTCCTCTGCTTGTTTTTGACACACATTCAGTTGTTTGGTGCTCTACTCAACAGCTTCTACTAAAACACATTTCTTTACTTATTCTATGCACAATGTGTTGTGTGCCTGGATGCCATGGTGGCACGTGTAATAAATAATAAATGTACTTCCTCTGGATTGTGGGCTGAAATGATTTCTGAGGATGAAAGATACGAGAAATTCACATCCTTTAATAATTAGCACAGTGTGAAGAGTGTACATTTAGCTGCGGTAGCGGTGGAGGACAGGAATGGATGGTGTGCAAAAAAAATTGTCTAAGTTCCCAGTTCTTTTTAAAAAACTATTCTGTTTGGCCATAGGCCAAGAAACGCTGTTTTCCAACAGAAATACACATTCTGAATTCCCTTAAACCTTCTCACATTGCTTCGAAAGTAAGACGCAAACACAGGAAATCT